CCTTGAACTTGAATGAGTGAAACTGTAGGCTGTATAACAGGTCGCTGCAAAGAGGAGGAGTGTGCAATTGTCTTCAATTAAAATCTTGAAATTAAAATTGAACTTAAAAATTGGAAGGAAAGGATTCCCGGGTGAAACAGTTACAGTTTGACTCTGCAGTACATTTCAGAAGGAACTTCAGTGAACTCTGCAGTAAACTTCACGTGTGCAGGGTGAGACAATTCAAGCGGAATTTCGAGCAGGGGAATTCAGTAGAGTAAATTCAGAAAAACTTCAGGAAGCTTACCCCTGCGACGAGGAGTGGAAAGGTTCTTGCAATAACGGCGCCCCGCAGGGATCACACAGCTTACCACAGTGGGAAGAAGCTGCGAAGACACACTTGAGTAGGTTGCTCCGTGGAGCGCGATTTCAGGCTGCTTCGCGGTGAGCATTAGCCCTTTAAGATTACTGCAGGTTAGACCTTGACTGAAAAAAATGCTGGGTCCGAGTAACAGTATTGTTGAACAAGAATGCAAGTGAAACGATTGAAACAATTCTAAAATGGCAGGTACGTTTTCAGCACCACACCACCAGGCTCTTCGTTGGCCACTCCCTGGTGGTGGGTGGAGTGGCCCCCTGCTGCTGTACATTGGTCACAAAAGTCATAGGGTAGGTTAGAAAGAGTTAGGGTAGTGTCCTTGGAAACAGGAGTGGACACACACACACACACATGAATTCATGCTCCAATTTCAACCCTCGACCTTCAATACCTTTTGCTGCTAAATCAGCCCCGCAGCCCACAAACAGATCACCTTCCTCCCGGTCGGACTGGTCCCCACACAACCACAAAAACGGTGAATTCCTCCCCCTCTCCACAGCCCACGGCCAGTCCATCGAGTCATAGACGGAGTTATCCCATCCATCCTCAAAAACCAAATGATGTTTGAGGATTTTGATGGATTTTGAGGTGCCTTTATAATCTTTATATACAGTCGTGGCAGTGTTCGTGGCAGTGTTCTGTGCAGCAAGTGTCTCATGATAGATAGGATAGGATAGGATAGGATCGGATCGGATGGGATGGGATGGGATGGGATGGGATGGGATGGGATGATGGGATGATGGGAGGATGGAAGGATGGAGGGAAGGATGGAGGGAAGGGAAGGATGGAGGGAACGGAAGGATGGAGGGAGGGAAAGAAGGGAAGGGAAGGGAAGGGAAGGGAAGGGAAGGGAAGGGAAGGGAAGGGTGGAGTGGAAGGGTGAAGGGTGAAGGGTGAAGGGTGAAGGGTGAAGGGTGAAGGGTGAAGGGTGAAGGGTGAAGGGTGAAGGGTGAAGGGTGAAGG